ATCCACTAAGAAGAAAATTAGTGTTACGCATAAGTGAAACAAGCACAAGTGTATAAAGGTGAGCAGAGTTACAGCACCTGGTGAGCTGGTTAGGTATTTCCTCCGTAGCCTTCTGCTCTAGTTCTGCACATTTATAATCTTAACTCAGAATTGCCAAATACGGGGTGCCTGGGTGGCTCAGTGAGTTAAAGCCTCTGCCTTCGGCTCAGGTCATGATCCCAGGGTCCTTGTATCAAGCCCCGCATCAGGCTCTCTCCTCGGCAGGGAGCCTGCCTCTCCCTCTCTCTCTGCCTGCCTCTCTGCCTACTTGCGATCTCTGTCAAATAAATAAAATCTTTACAAAAGGGGGGGGGCGCCTGGGTGGCTCAGTGGGTTAAAGCCTCTGCCTTCAGCTCAGGTAATGATCCCAGGGTCCTGGGATCGAGCCCCACGTCGGGGGGGGGGGTCTCTGCTCGGCAGGGAGCCTTTTTCTTCCTCTCTCTCTCTGCCTGCCTCTCTGCCTACTTGTGACCTCTGTCTGTCGAATAAATAAATAAAATCTCAAAAAAAAAAAAAAGAATTGCCAAATACACTATGTTGCACATTGATGACCACATATACTTAAAGAGTGAGTGGCAGTAGTACAAATAAAATACTAATACAGGCAATGAAGTCTTGCTATATTGATGACAACAGTTCTGATGAGCTTATTTCAAATGTTGTTTCCATTCTATTGCTTACATTTCTTTTGAAGATATTCTATGAAATTTCACATACTCCACCATTTTCTGTGTTAAGATGTTTGAGAAGAAAAACTTTCAGTCCAACAGAGAAGAGAAAGTCAATGAGTAGGATGGGAAATGCTCACTGATAAGCATTACTCGAAAACAGATTTTCACCATAGGATTTCACTATTTTATTTGGTAAGAATATCCAAAGCCGCAATGTTCCTTTCCTACAACCGAGAAACAAAAGGCCCACTAAAAAGCTATTAATATTTAATGGATTTATTATTATCAACTTAGAGTATATTCTGGCTCTTTTTCATAAGTGTTTACCTAAACAATTTGCTCAAAAATGACTAACAATTCCCGCTTCGGGTTCCCTGCTTGGCAGGGAGTCTGCTTCTCCCTCTGACCGTCTCCCCTCTCATGTTCTCTCTCTCACTCTCTCTCTTTCAAGTAAATAAATAAAATCTTAAAAAAAATCTAAAATTTAGTATGGAAGTATAACTGACATGCGGTGTTGTATTAGTTTCAGGTCTACAACATAGGGATTTGAAAATTCTATACATTTTTCAATGCTCACCATAAGTGTAGTCACCATACAATATTATTATAATATCGTTGACTATTTTCTCTATATTGTGCTTTTTGTCTCTGTGACTTATCTATTTTATAACTGGAAGTTTGTACCTCTTAATCCCCTTCATCTATTTTGATCATCACCCCAACCCACCTCCTCTCTTACAACCACCAGTTTCTTCACTGTCTTTAATAAGAGTCTGTTTGTTTGTTTGTTTGTTCACTCATTGTGTTTTTTAGATTCCACATATAGGTGAAATCACGTGGTATTTGTCTTTCTTTGACTTATTTCACTTAGCATAAAACCCTCTAGGTCCATACCTGTGCTGGTAATTTGAAATATTATAGCCAGGAATGGCTTCTCTGAAGGTAACATTTGTGTAAAGATATGAAAGAGCAGTGAAAAGGAGGAAATTACATGGAATATTTAGAGGAAAAGCAGCACAGGTAGAAAGAACAGCATGTGCAGAGGTTCTGAGGGGAGCATTCTTGTTTATGAGGAACAAGCAGTCAGTGTGACTAAAGGGAATCCTAGGAGTTGAGGTCAGAGATATAATAAGAATTATTCTAAATGATAATGGGAAGCAACTGAGGGGTTTGGGATAAGGAGTGGCAAAATTTGTTTTAGGTTTTTTTTTAAGATTTTATTTATTTATTTGACAAAGAGAGACACAGTAAGAGAGGGACCACAAGCAGGGGGAGTAGGAGAGGGAGACGCAGGCATCCTGCTGAGTAGGGAGCCCCATGTGGGGCTCGATCCCAATACCCTGGTATCGTGACCCAAGCTGAAGGCAGACGCTTAAGGACTGAGCCACCTAGGCGCTCCTGTTTTAGGTTTTAGAGGATTGCTTTGGCTCCCATATTGAGAATAGACAGTAGGAGACAAAGGAAAGCAGGGAGACTAATTAGGAAATTTCTCAAAGTTTACGGATTGAGGATGGAATGCTGTTTAATGAAATGAAATAGGATGGGAAAAATGCATGTTAGCACTAGGAATTAGGGCAGTTTTGCTAGTTTGGTAATATGAAAATATAGAAATTTGTGGTTTTTAAATTTTATTTAAACTCAATTAATTAACATATACTGTATTATTAGTTTCAGAGGTAGTGATTCATCGGTTGCATATAACAGCCAGTGCTCTTTCAATCAAGTGCCCTCCTTAAAGCCCAACACCCAGTTACCCCATTTCCCCACGCAACTCCCTTTCAGCACCCCTCAGTTTGTTTCCTATAGATAAGAGTCTTTGGGGCGCCTGGGTGGCTAAGTCAGTTAAGCCTCTGCCTTCTGCTCAGGTCATGAACTGAGGGTCCTAGGATAGAGGCCCACACTGAGACCCAGATGACGCCCCTCATCGGGCTCCCTGCTTGGCGGGGAGTCTGCTTCTCCCTCTGCCCCTCACCCCAGTGCGCGCACTCTCTCTCTCTCTCAAATAAATAAATAAATGAAATGTTCGGGGCACCTGGGTGGCTCAGTGGGTTAAGCCTCTGCCTTCAGCTCAGGTCATGATCCCAGGGTCCTGGAATCGAGTCCCACATCGGGCTCTCTGCTCTGCCGGGAGCCTGCTTTCCTCCCCGCCCCCGCCTGCCTCTCTGCCTACTTGTGATCTCTGTCAAATAAATAAATAAATAAATACATACATACATACAATCTTTAAAAAAAAAGAGAGATCTTAAAAAAAAAAAGAAGACTTATGGTTTGTCTCCTTTTCTGATTTCGTCTTACTTTATCTTCCCATTTTCCCCTCCCTTTCCTTATGATCCTCTGTTCTTTTTTTTTTTTTTTTTAGGATTTGTTTTTTTTTATTTTTTTATTTGACAGAGAGAGAGAGATACAGCGAGAGAGGGAATGTAGGCTTCCCACTTTGCCCAACGTGGGTCTAGATCCCAGGACCCTGGGACCATGACCTGAGCCAAAGGCAGATGCTTACTGACTGAGCCACCCAGGCACCCCCTCTGTTTTGTTTGTTAAATTCCACATATGAGTGAAATCATATAATTGTTCTATTTTTTAAAAAGATTTTATTTTTAACTAATCTCTATACCCAATGTGGGGCTCTAATTCACAACCCTGAGATCAAGAGTTTCACAGTCTACTGACTGAGCCAGATAGGCACCCCCAAAATACAGAAACTTCTCCTTTGTTGTTGTATTAAAAAATTAGTTTTTTCTTTGTATTTCTTTATTGTGTTAGATGTACTTCATTTAAAATTTACAATTTTAGGGGCGCCTGAGTGGCTAGTCATTAAGCGTCGGCTTCGACTTAGGTCATGATTCTTGGGTCCTGCGATCAAGCCCTGCATGGGGTTCCCTGCTCAACAGGGAGCCTGCTTCTCCCTCTCCCACTCCCCTGCTTGTGTTCCCTCTCTATGTTTCTCTCTATCAAATAAATAAATAAAATCTTTAAATAAAATAAAATTTACAATTTTAACCATTTTTAATTGTACAATTTAGAAGCATTAGTTACATTTACAATGTTGTGCAGTCATTATACTCTGGGAGCTTTTGGTTCCTGACATTAGACATGTAAAATTTAAATAATGATACTATTATACAGGTCTGTATTTTCCCGCAGATATCGGAAATTGGGAACATGGGGAAAAATAAAAAAAAAATTTTTAAAAAGATTTGATTTATTTATTTGACAGAGAGATAGAGAGCACAAGTAGGTAGAGCAGCAGGCAGAGAGAGGGAGAGAGAGAAGCAGGCTTTCCTCTGAGCAGAGAGCCAGATGCTGGGCTCAGTCCCAGGACCCAGGGATCATGACCTGAGCCAAGGGCAGCCATTCAACTGACTGAGCCACCCACGGGCCGTGAAAAATAAAATTTAAATCTGGACTCATCATTAGTGACTACATGTGGCTAGAAACACCTTGCAGAAGCATATCCACAGAAAGAGAAAGAGGAGACCAGTGCCAGTGATAAGAAGGGTTGGAGTAAGTATGGAGGAAAATCATAAAAGATAGCTTCTGAAAGAGAGGATATAAGTTCAGAACACCTTTGGTCATAAAGAATAGGGATGATTTCGCCCAGCCTGGAAGTGATGAGGGGCTCCCAGTAAGTGAATGCTGCTCCTAAGGAGTAGTTAAGTAGTTGAGTCTTGGAATACAGCGGAGAAGGGAGAAGGAACTGGGGAGTTTCTAAGAGTTTAGGGCTGAAAGGGGTGGGGAGTAAAGTTCAGTGAAATCTGAGCCAAGCACACAGCGCAGATTCAGAAAGGGCCGACAAGTATCTGTGTAATTTGTAGGGCCCCAAAGAAAGAACAACCTGCTTTAGCAATATTTCTTTGACAGAGGCGATGGGGTGGAGTGGAAACTTAATAGGTAGTTAAGAAGGGCTGAAACTGAGGTTCAGCGAGCAGCTCTGTGAAGGCAGAACTGATTTGGTGGGAGATGGTGCGATCTCAGAGATTCCTGGAAAGAGCGGAAAGGAACCCAAGATTGGTTCTAGAAAGGATTCATCTGAGGTAGTTCAGAAGGTAGCCCGACGGGCGGTTGGTTACAAGTCAGTGGACCGGGCAGAGCTTTCTGAGGTGGTGGGGTTTTGGTGGGTCCTTCCCCGGGGCCACGCTACTACTCCGTTAGAACAGAAGAGGCCTGGAAAGCGAGGCGGGGAGCAGGGTCGTGGGGTGACGCCGGCTGAGGGAGGAGGCGAGCGCGGGCGACTCCTACTTGGGACCCGGGCCCAGGCCCCGCCCCTGGCGTACGCCATCAGCCCGCGCCGCGCTGCGGGTGTTATTCCGTCCCGCCCGCGCGGCGGTCGGTGCTCCGTCACCGCCCGCTGTGGCCATGGCCCCAGCCCGTGGCTTATAAATTGGCGACCGGAGTCCCCGACGCGGCCCTGGTCCTGATGGCGGCGGCGGCGGCGACGGCGGCCCTGGCAGCGGCCGACCCCCCTCCCGCGATGCCGCAGGCGGCAGGAGCTGGAGGGCCCACCGCCCGTCGGGACTTCTACTGGCTGCGCTCCTTTCTGGCCGGAGGTGGGTGTCTAGCCGGGAGGACCCGGTGGTGGTGGGGTCTCAGGGCAGGATCCGGGGCAGATACGGTGCTTGCAGCCGCGGTGACATTCTTGGACTCTGGCTGCTTCAGTGCTCGGCTGGATATTTGCCCTGACCTGTGTACTCTAATAATCACTTGACTAGTGACAGCAGGATCCTGGGGAGGAAGGGCCTCGAGCTGTCAGGGAGCGGCTGGGGAGGTGGACTGGCCGAACCAAGGACCCATTCTTCAGGGTTGGATAGTAGGGAAAAGAGCCGGATCCTTTACAAAGACTCCAGGGTTTCAGTAAAACATTTCTGGGTACCTCTTTCTTTTATAAAGACCATAAATGACCCAGTATAGAATTGGATTTTGTCGTTTGCTTTAAAGAAAACAAATATTGGAGGACAGCTTTTTAAAGTTGAATAGGAAATTGTGCAAAATTGCCTACAACCAAAACTGGTTCCAGTTATTCTGGTAAACTGGTCTATTGCTACATGACAGGTAGCTGGTGCAGCCCTTCTATCCGTGTCACTGTGAGGCCAGAAAGTTCATAATTGTCTCTTAAAAACTTCCTCTGCCTTTCCATAAAGAAGTGTTTTCAGTCTCTACCCTCTCTTAATTGATTGGTTGTCAATACTTAATTACTTGTTAAGACTGGGAATTTTTAAAATTCTACGTTATACGAGCTTTTAGGAGGAGTATCTGTAGGGTGCAGTAGTGTTAAGAATTTATTTTGTTCTAGGGGCGCCTGGGTGGCTCAGTGGGTTAAAGCCTCTGCCTTCAGCTCAGGTGGTGATCCCAGGGATCAGATTCTGAGATCGAGGTCCTGGGATCGAGGCCCGCATCCAGCTCTCTGCTGAGCGGGGAGCCTGCTTCCTCCTCTCTCTCTGCCGGCCTCTCTGCCTACTTGTGATCTCTGTCTGTCAAATAAATAAATAAAATCTAAAAAAAAAAAAAGAATTTATTTTGTTCTGATAAAAACAGCATTATTCATGCATTTATACAAGGAATATGATGAGTGCCCGCTCTGTGCCTGCTATATGTTCAGTGTGTATCAGGGAACAAAACAAAGATCCTGGAGTTTACATTGATTGGAGAGTTGAGAGGAGAACGAGAATGAATAAAATGAGAAAGTAAGTTATATAGGTGATGAATGCAATGGGAAAAAGTAAAAAGGAGAATGGGGCAAGGAAATGCGGAGGCTGCGTGGGTACACTGTTAAATTGGTCATGGTAAGTCTCTTGGAGAGAATGACACTTGAGCAGACTTGAAGTAGTGAAGGAGTTGAGCAAGTTGATAATCTCAAGAGGAGCATTTCAGGCCTTAAGAAAAGCTGTGTAGCTATAACCAAGTGGTATTGATGGCAAAAGGAGGTTAGAGGCCATGGGAGGCTGAATGAAGGGCTTTCCAAACAATTGTAAAGATTCCAGCTTTTATTTGGAATGAAGTAGGAACTGCCCAACTCTTTTCTAAAGTGTCTGTTCCATTTTGTATCCCCACTATCTTGTCAACATTTGCTGTTATCAGAGTTTTTGTCCTCTGTGTTTGTGTAGTTGTGTGTGTTTCTCTTTAAACAGGTGTTTAGAGATATATGATTGTTTTTTAAAAAAGATTTTATTTATTTATTTGACAGAGAGAGAGGCAGGCAGAGAGAGAGGTGGAAGCAGGCTCCCTGCTGAGCAGAGAGCCAGATTCGGGGCTCAATCCCAGGACCCTGAGATCATGACCTGGGCCGAAGGCAGAGGCTTAACCCAATGAGCCACGCAGGTGCCCCTATAATTGTGGTTTTTAACTTGCATTTCCCTGATGACTGTTGGTGAATATCTTTTCATTTTCTTTTTGACCATTTGTGTCTCTTGGTAAAGTGTTGCTTCAGATTTTTAGCAAGTGTGAATACTTTTGAAGAAGTTTCTCGTCCAAGTGATATGAAAAAATACCTTTGGGGGGGCGCCTGGGTGGCTCAGTGGGTTAAAGCCTCTGCCTTTGGCTCAGGTCGTGATCCTGGGGTCCTGGGATCAAGCCCCAAATGGGGCTCTCTGCTCAGCAGGGAGCCTGCTTCCTCCTCTCTCTCTGCCTGCCTCTCTGCCTACTTGTGACCTCTGTCAAATAAATAAAATGTTAAAAAAAAAAGAAAAAGAAAAAGAAAAAATACCTTTGGGCAAGTTACCTTAGCCTCCTTCTGCCTCAGTTTTCATATCCTTTAAATGGGAAAAGATTTCCTACTTTAGAAGGTTGTAATGATTAAATGAGATAGTAGCTGGAAAAGCCTTGGCATAGTGTCCTGAGTTAAATCTCTTAGTCTAGGGGCTCCTGGGTGGCTCAGTCAGTTGGGCATCTGCCCTCAGCTCGGGTCATGATCCCAGGGTCCTGGGATCGAGCCCCACATGGGGCTCCCTGCTTCTTCTCTTCCTCTGCCTGAGAGTCCCTCTTCTTTTGCGTGCGCTCTCCCTCTCTGCGTCAAATAAATAAATAAAACCTTAAAAAAAAATCTCCTAGCCTGGTACATTGTACATGGTAAACACTCATAACTTGCTAACTATTATTGTTGATTAGCCTTGGGCACTCTTAATCTCATTTGCTCAAAAGGAAGATAAAAGTTGGATGACCTAACTCAATGGATTGTTGTAATGATCAATTGAGTTATGAAGTAATGTGACTAAATGAGTTAAGGTACTATCAGAGGAAACTACTTATTGAACACATTCTAAATAATTTCATTATATGGTTAGTTCATAATGACTGGGAAGATAAAGAACATAATATTGTGAAACCAAATATATCCGAATGCACATTATTTTAAGTTCATCCTCAATTTTGGGTAGCCATGACTATGATTTGCTTTAGTTCAGATAAAGGAAGCTTGATTTAGAAACTTACATGTGGATTTAATATTTGAATATGAATAAGCATTTTGTTTTTGGATATCTCAGAATATGGATTTTAATTAACATTAGTTACATGGTAGGCTATTAAATAAATGTGTGTGGACTTTGAGTGATTTTGTCCTACATTTTAAAAAGTTTGTAGGGGCTCCTAGGTCGGTCAATCAGTCAAGGTCTGAGGATTGAGCCCCACATCAGGCTCCCTGCTCAGTAGGGGAGTCTACTTATCCCTCTCCCTCTGCCCCCTGCTTGTGTGCTCTCTTTCTTTTGCTCACTCTCTCCCAAATAAATAAAATATTAAAAAAAAATAAAAAGTTTGTAAAGTAAAACTCTACATTCATTTTTTTTGTTATTGTACATTCATTTATTTTTTAAAGATTTTATTTATTTAATTGACAGAGAGAGAGATCACAAGTAGGCAGAGAGGCAGTCAGAGAGAGAGGAGGAAGCAGGCTCCCCGCTGAGCAGAGAGCCCAATGCGGACCTCGATCCCAGGACCCTGGGACCATGACCTGAGCCGAAGGCAGAGGCTTTAACCCACTGAGCCACCCAGGCGCCCTCTCTGGGCTTTTATATAGGGCATTAACCTTGTTGGTGAGGGCTCCACCCTGCTGACCTCATCAATTCCTAAAAGCCTCACTTCTAAATGCCATCACTTTGGGAATTAGTTTTCAACATATGAATTTGGGAGGACACAGTCTATAGGAAAGAGTCTTCATATATTATTGTCTTAGAAGCATGCCAAGCTAGTGGGGCTGCCCTGGATTCTGACTTGTACTAAAGAAAGCTCATGTACACACATTACTGTCATCCATATGTCTGTATAGTGGCATGTGATAGGGACCAAATACGTAATTGCTGAATAAAAATGGGTATGCTGTATTTTATGGGTAAAAGTTGTTGTTGTTTTTTTTTAAGATTTTATTTATTTATTTGACAGACAGAGATCACAAGTAGGCAGAGAGGCAGGCAGAGGTGGGGGGTAGGGTGGGGAGCAGGCTCCCTGCTGAGCAGACAGGCCGATGTGGGACTCAATCCCAGGACCCTGAGATCATGACCTGAGCCGAAGGCAGAGGCTTTAACCCACTGAACCACCAAGACGCCCCAAAAGTTGGTTGTTTCAATGAAAGAGTCATCCAGAAGAGGAGGTTACTTGAAACAGAGCCTCATGGCTGGGTAAATACCTTCAAGTGTCTGTCTCCATAACTACATTTAGCAAGATTCCTAGTGGTCATCAGGTATTGGGGGAAGATTTACACTCTTCAAATTTATTTTTAAGTCTGACATACTCAGTTATTAAGTTACAGGGAATGGGGGCCAATCATCTACATATCCCTGCAACTGGGCAGTTCTACCCATGGAGACCAAATGAGAAATCAGAAGGTGTGCTGGCTGAATAAATAACAATTTCCACATGGAAAGAAATGGTATGCAATTTCATGCTGACTGTTTAAAAATTTTGTAGGTATTGCTGGATGCTGTGCCAAAACAACGGTTGCTCCTTTGGATCGAGTAAAGGTTTTATTACAAGCTCACAATCACCATTATAAACATTTAGGTGAGTTAATGGATATTAAAGATAAAAGTGAATGAAAACATTATCCATCTGCTGGCTTTGTTTCCCGTTACGAATTAGAGTAGAAAGAGGATGCAAAAGAGAGTTTAAGTTTGTGAACAAATTTTGCAAGAGATTTATCTGTTATCTACGTTAACCTTTTCATTTGTAATAGTGATTAAATATATTATCATTTTAGGGTACTGATATTCTCTAAACCAAAATCTTAGAATCATTGAAGTAAGTACTGTTTATTGGAATTAGAGTCATGCTTTCCAGACACATAAGAGCTCAGCCTGATTTTTTTTTTTTTTAAGATTTTATTTATTTATTTGACAGAGAGAGAGAGATCACAAGTAGGCAGAGAGGCAGGCAGAGAGAGGGGGAAGCAGGCTCCCTGCTAAGCAGAAAGCCCCATGTGGGACTTGATCCCAGAACCCTGAGATAATGACCCGAGCCGAAGGCAGAGGCTTAACCCACTGAGCCACCCAGGTGCCCCTGATTTTTTTTTTTTTTTTTTTTAAGATTTTATTTATTTATTTGTCAGAGAGAAAGAGGGAACACAAGCAGGGGAAGCGGCAGGCAGAGCAGGCAGGCGGAGAAGCAGGCTCCCAGCTAAGCAGGGAGCTGGATGTGGGACTTCATTCCAGGACCCTGGGATCATTACCTGAGCAGAAGGCAGAAGCTTTAATCCACTGAGCCACCCAGGCGCCCCTCAGGCTGATTTTTAAAAAATATCTAATAAGTGATGGAGATAAGGTTTTTTCCTTTATTTATTGAAAGATTTATTTAGATTTCTGTATTTATTTGAGAGAGAGAGCACACCTGTGCGTTAGCAGGGAGAGGCAGAGGGAGAGAGAATCCTCTCCACTGATCGTGGAGCCTGACACAGAGCTTGATCCCATGACCCTGAGATCATGACCTGAGCTGAAATCAGGAGCAGGCTGCTTAACTGACTCAGCCACCCAGGGGCCCCTATTTTTAATTTTTAATGTAATCTTTACACCTTTACACCCAACGTGGGGCTCTTATTGACCCTGAGATCAAAAGTTGCAAGTGCTACTGACTGAGCCAGCCAGGCACCCTATTCCTTTAAACACCTAGTTGAACAAGCCTTCTAGAAATCTAAGTGTAACGAGAATTCTGTGCAATTTGCATATATATGGATGAACTTACATTGTTAATATCAAGCCCTTGTTTGTTCCTTGCAAACATAAATATCAGCCACTTAATTAACATGGATACTCTAATAATATGTCATTTGTAGGAGTAAGACATTTTTATAACCTTTTTGGAGGGGATTTTGGTAATATGCATCAAAAATGTTAAAAAGAGGGGCACCTGGGTGGTTCAGTCATGAAGCGTCTGCCTTTACCTCAGGTCATGATCCCAGAGTCTTGGGATCAAGCCCGCCTCACCGGGCTCCCTGCTCAGCTGGAGGGCTGCTTCTCCTTCTCCCACTCCCCCTGCTTGTGTTCCCTCTCTTGCTGTCTCTCTCTCTGCCAAATAAATAAAATCTTTAAAAAAAAATCTTAAAAAGGTACATATTCTTTGAGTGTGTAATTCTAGTTCTAGGAAGTTATTGTAAGGAGCTAATCAGAAGTGTGCTCAAAGATGTATATACAAGGATCAAATCATTATTTGTATTCGTAAAAAAACCAAAAAAACCAACCAAAACTGTTCAATAGTAGGGAATTGGCTATGTTAAATAATAAGTATAATTGAAATGAATAAATATATCCATAAATAATAAGTATAATTTAAATGAATAAATATATCCATATATATCCATATATCCTTTTTTCCAATCACACAGAAACTGAAAATAATACCGACTGGGGTGCCTGGCTGGCTTAGTTAGTAGAGAAGGCAACTCTCTCAAAAAAAATTTTTTTAAGGTAATCCCTATGCCCAACGTGGGGTAGAACTCACAACCCCAGAATTAAGAGTGGCATGCTGTACAGGCTGAGCCAGCCAGGTGCCATGAGCATGTGACTCCTGATTTTGGGTTAGTGAGTTCAATCTTCTCATTGGGCATAGAGCTTACTTTAAAAAAAAAAAAAAAGAGTATTATTGACTAGGAAAAATGTTCATGATGTATTAGATAACTGAAAACGTATACAATGGTTTAATTATACTGCATTTTATGTAAATAAATGTTCTTAGACAACAGGTTGGAAAGACAAATGTTAAGTGGTTAATTTTCAAAGGTGAAATTCAAGATAATTCTTCCCCCTCAGATAATATTAACACATGTTGAACATATATTACTTTTTCAATTAGAGGGGAAAAGTTTTTTGTTTTTTGTTAGATTTTATTTATTTATTTGTCAGAGACAGAGGGAGAGAGAGTGAGTGAGCACAGGCAGACAGAGAGGCAGGCAGAGGGAGAAGCAGGCTCCCTGCCGAGCAAGGAGCCCAATGTGGGACTCGATCCCAGGACGCTGGGATCATGACCCGAGCCGAAGGCAACTGCTTAACTAACTAAGCCACCCAGGCGTCCCAAGATTTTTTTTTTTTTTTTAAGATTTTATTTATTTATTTGACAGAGATCAAAAGTAGGCAGAGAGGCAGGCAGAGAGTGAGAGGGAAGCAGGCTCCCTGCTGAGCAGAGAGCCCGACTCTGGGCTCAATCCCAGAACCCTGAGATCATGACCTGAGCTGAAGGCAGAGGCTTTAACCCACTGAGCCACCCAGGCGCCCCCGGGGGGAAAAGATTTAAAAGAAAAAAAATTAATGTGGACAGAGGCCAAGAAAGAAATTATGTCAAGGCAACTAACTCATAGTACTCCATTGCTTTATTAGGTTCATGCTTCAAATGATGTGTGCTCTGCATGACCTATGCAACATCACTATGTAAGGAAGATGTTCTACAGAGTGAATAAGAGTCAGCTATTTTTCTATAATGTATAGAGTTGTCAAGTCACTATGTTGTACACCTAAACTAATGTGACATTGTGTCAGCTATCTTCAATTTAAAAAAAATCAATTATTTTTTCCAATGGTGTTTTTAAAATGTAACTTTTCTCAAAAAATGTAATGAATATTTGTTATATATTAACCTTAACTCATTTGCTTGTCTATATTTTTAATACTAAGTAAGTATACTTATAATGGAAAGGAAAAAAATTGCTGCCTTTTCTGTGTCCTGCAGTGAGCTCAGTGTGCTGCTCAGATGTAGAATCAGACCTTTGAACTGATTGAGACAGTGTATAAAAGTGGAAAGGAAGGAAATTGTTTTCTTTCATTGTCCAAATTAAGGATAAAAAGGAGATGAATTATATTAGTGTCTCAGGGTGTTTACCATAACCCAACATATGAATATCTGAGCAGAATTGTTTTATTCCTTTAATCTCCTCCCCATGCTGGTTTATGTTGTTTTGTTTCCTGATTTGTAGTCATTAGATTACATATTCACATTAGATTTCATGCTCTATAGGACTACATGCTATGGGTTACAGTGTTGCCCTACAAGGCATGCAAAATTTGAAATGGAATTCCTGGAGTGAAACAATGAACTGTTGGTATAGTATAATATGGAGTTTCATGTATCTTTAAAATATGTAAGCCAAAAAAAATTTATATATAGGTGTTTTAATTTTTTCTTTTTGAATATTTTTGGCGTTTTATTCTAGATGCCTTTTTATATGCATGCATAAGCATGCATAATTTGTAAAATTTTGCTTTTTTTTTTTTTAATTTATTTGACAGACAGAGATCACAAGCAGGCAGAGAAGCAGACAGAAGGAGAGGAGGAAGCAGGCTCTCCGCTGAGCAGAGAGCCCGAAGCGGGACTCGATCCCAGGACCCTGGGATCTTGACCCGAGCCGAAGGCAGAGGCTTTTAACCCACTGAGCCACCCAGGCGCCCCTGCTTTTTTATTTTTATTTTATTTTATTTTTTAAGATTTTATTTATTTGTTAGATAGAGAGCACAAGCAGGGGGAGCAGGAGGGGAGGAGCAGACTCCCCACTGAGCAAGGAGCCCAAAGTAGGACTTGATCCCAGGACCATGAGATCATGACTTTAGCCAAAGGCAGATGCTTAACCAACTGAGCCACGCAGGCATCCCAAATTTTGCTTTTTTAAACATGAATTTTCACAAAGATGATGAAAATGTGCTATTGAATAAAACTTCTACTTTAGCTTCTTTTAAAAAATGTGTAACTTTACTTCCAAAGCATCAAAACTGTTTTTTATATTGAAGGAAAATTATTCTGGCAAAATGAAAAGCAAGGAGTACAATTGAATTTTTCCATATCCCATTTTGCATAAATAATTTTTCTGTAGGGGTGCTTGGGTGGCTCAGATAGTTAAACATCTGCCTTGCTTGTGCTCTCTCGCTCTCTGTCAAATAAATAAATAAAATCTTTAAAAAAACGTTTTTTTCCACTGTAATATATTGAAAATCTTTGACCTCATTTATCTTTTTACAGTCAAATGTAATGTAAAATTAGGTGAATCATAATAGGATTCTTTAAAAATCATTAACTTTTTAAAAAGATTTTTTATTTATTTTACTTGAGAGAGAGTGGGGAGAGAGCACAAGCTGGGGCAGCAACAAAGGGAGAGGGAGAGCAGACTCCCCACTGAGCAGGGAGCTGATGTGGGACTCAGTCCCAGGACCTTGGGTTCATGACCTGAGTTGAAGGCAGACACTTACCCGACTGAACCACCCAGGCACCCCCGAATGTTATTTCCTTCTAATCCTATTTTGATAAAAGAGGTAAAGATACAGAGGAGGATTTAAATAACACAAAAGCTTAATATAACAGATGCACAGGCAGCTTGCCCACTACAGAGAATATATATTCTTTCCAAACATGCTTGTAACATTTGTAAGAATTGGTCTAGTGTTGGGGCACTTGGCTGGCTTGGTGGAGTATAGGGCTCTTGATCTCATGGTTGTGAGTTTAAGCCTCACACTGGGTGTGGAAACTACTTGAGGAAAAAAAAAAAAAAAGAATTGGTTCAATGTTATGCCACAAAGAACACCTTAATTCATTCATTTCCCACAGTAAAAATAGTAGACTATAGGTTGAAGAAGAAAAACAATAACCTATAATCATCTCAATGGATATTTAAAAGCCATTTGAAAACATTCAACATCCATTCTTGCTTTCTTTTTCTGTTATTCTGTTTTAGGTAAGAATTTTGTAAAAAGCATAGTATATAGTTAGGTATGGACTTCTAACAGAATTTGAGAATCTTTGGCTTTTTTTTTTAAAGATTTTATTTATTTATTTGACAGATCACAAGTAGGCAGAGAGGCAGACAGAGAGAGAGAGAAAGAGGAGGAAGCAGGCTCCCTGCTGAGCAGAGAGCCTGACTCGGGGCTCCATCCCAGGACCCTGGGATCATGACCTGAGCTGAAGGCAGAGGCTTTAACCCACTGATCCACCCAGTCACCCCAATCTTTGGCTTTTATTTTATTTTATTATTATTTTTTTATTTATTTGACAGAGAGAGGGAGATCACAAGTAGGCAGAGAGGCAGGCAGAGCAAGAGGGGGGAAACAGGCTCCCTGCTGAGCAGAGAGCCCGACTCGGGACTCGATCCCAGGACCCTGAGATCATGACCTGAGCCGAAGGCAGAGGCTTAACCCACTGAGCCACTCAGGCGCCCCTACGATTTTTATTTTTATTATTATTATTTTTTTATTTAATTCTTTGGCTTTTAATAGAGGAATTTTTGTCATTCTGATTTGTGTGTGTGTGTGTGTATGGTTATTGATTTTTTTCACTCACTATCATAATGCTTTTTGTTTATTGCGCTGTCTCAGTTCTGTTCTCTCCTGCAACCTCTCCCACTTTGTTTTCTGGATTTCCTTTTTTGAAAGTACTATACCTGTTTCACTTCTACTAGTAATTCCGTTAAAATCCTTCTTTACAAAATATTTGTGATAATTAAAGAGTTTTAAAGGACTAATGTAACATATGTGGGCCCACACAGAGATTCAGAAGTAAACATTACTGGTACAGTTGAAACCTCTACTTCTTTTTTTTTTTTTTTTTAAGATTTTATTTATTTATTTGACAGGCAGAGATTACAAGTAGGCAGAGAGGCAGGCAGAAGGAGAGAGAGGAGGAAGCAGGCTCCCTGCCAAGCAGAGAGCCCGATGCGGGGCTCAATCCCAGGACCCTGGCTGGGATCATGACCTGAGCCGAAGGCAGAGGCCTTAACCCACTGAGCCACCCAGGCGCCCCTCTTAATTCTTTTTTTTTTTTTTTTTAAGATTTTATTTATTTATTTGCTAGGCAGGAAACCTCTACTTCTCTCTGATCATCGGCCTTCCTGTCCCTACTAGGTAGCTATTGTTCTAAATTAGGTTATTCTTAAATTGTTACAGACACTTTTGAATCAAATTAAGCAGAGTTTAACCTTTGCCCCCTCTTTTGGCAATTTTTTTGGGTGTGGGGGAGTATATTTAGTTTCATTATTCATGTGTTTTAGGAGGATTTGTACATATTATATACATAGCTATGTACACATACAGATATTTGTACATATTTATATGTCTATATATAAAATAAAATTCTTTTTTTATTTTTAAAAAAATTTTATTAATTTTTTTGAGAAAGAGAACAGGAGCAGAGGGGAGAGGCAGAGGGAGAGAGAGAAGCAGAATTCCTACTGAGCCTGGAGCTGGAGGTGGGGTTTGGTCCCAGGACCCTGAGATCATGAACTGAGTGGAAGGCAAACACTTAACTGACTGAGCCAGCCAGGAACCCCTCTTTTTTTTTTTAAAGATTTATTTAGGGGCGCTTGGGTGGGCCAGTGGGTTGAAACCTCTGCCTTTGGCTCAGGTCATGATCCCAGGATCCTGGCGGGTCTCTGCTCAGCGGGGAGCCTGCTCCCCCCGCCCCCGCCTGCCTCTCTGCCTACTTGTGACCTCTATCTGTCAAATAAATGAATAAAATCTTTAAAAAAAAGATTTATTTAGTTATTTATTTGCCAAAGACATTGCAAGCGCAAGAGAGAGGACAAGCAGGGGAAGCTGCAGGTGGAGGGAGAAGCAGGCTCCCCACTGAGCTAGGTGTCCAATATGGGACTCCATCTCAGGACCTTGGGATCATGACTTGTGTTGAAGACAGATGCTTAACCAACTGAGCTGCCCAGACATACCCCACCCTTTTTTTTTTTAAGATTGAGGGTAACTGGGGTGCCTGGGTGGCTCAGTCATTAAGCGTCTGCCTTCGACTAGGATCATGATTCCAGGGTCCTGGGATTGAGTCTGGCATCTGTCTCCTTGCTCAGTAGAAAGTCTGCTTCTCCCTCTCCCACTCCCCTCATTTGTATTCTCCCTCTCGCTGTCTCTCTCCTGTCAAATAAATGAATAAAATCTTTAAAGAAAAGTTGAGGTTTTTTTTTTTTAATGTATTTATTTGACAGAGAGAGAGAGATCACAAGTAGGCAGAGGCGGGGGATGGGGTGAGGGGAGCAGGCTCCCTGCTGAACAGAGAGCCCAATGCGGGACTGGATCCCAGGATCCCGAGACCACTACCAAGCCGAAGGCAGAGGCCTAACCCGCTGAGCCCCCCAGGTGCACCAAGGGTGATTTTTTTTTTTTTTTAAAGGTTGGGAGTTATACAGGTGCTTGCTTTATTTATTTATTTACTTACTTATTTTAAGGGAACTGTAACATGAGACTCAAGACCTGGAGATCAAGAGTTGAATGCTCCATTGACTAACCCAGCCAGGTGCTCCAATAGAATTCTTTTTAATAGGCTATTAGTCTATTTAGATATCTGCTTATTAAAAAATGCTTTTAGGAGGAGTACCTGGGTGGTTCCGTCATTAAGCATTTACCTTCTGCCCAGGTCCTGATCCCTGGGTCCTAGGATCTAGACCCATATTCAGCTCCCTGCACTGCAGGAAGTCTGCTTCTCCCTGTTCCAGTTCCCCTGCTTGTGTTCCCTCTCTTGCTGGATCTCTCTCTGTCAAATAAATAAATAAAATCTTTTTTGATCTTTATTTTTTTAATTTTTAAAAAAAGATTTTATTTATTTATTTGACAGAGATCATAAGTATGCAGAAAGGCAGGCAGAGAGAGAGGGGGAAGCAGGCTCCCCTCTGAGCAGAGAGCCTGATGTGGGGCTCAATCCCAGGACCCTGAGATCATGACCTGAGCCGAATGCAGAGGCCTAACCCACTGAGCCACCCAGGCACCCCACTAAATAAAATCTTAAAAAAAGAAAGCTTTTAAGATATCTTGTTTTTGGTGTTAATAAGTACCTACAATTTTAATTTCTGGGAAGAGATCAAAAGGTTACTTCTAAAATTGTAAGTGAGGCTAGTGTTTTACTTTTATATTTGATCAAATTTTTATATGAAAAATTTGGAAATGAGCCCAAATTTGAATAATTTAATAATGGATGTAGTGATTTTTTTTTTAAGATTTTATTTATTTATTTGACAGACAGAGATCACAAGTAGGCCGAGAGGCAGGCAGAGAGAGTAAGAGGGGGAAGCAGGCTCCCTGCTGAGCAGGGAGCCCGATGTGGGACTCGGTCCCAGGACCCTGGGATCATGACCTGAGCCGAAGGCAGAGGCTTTAACCCACTGAGCCACCCAGGTGCCCCTGTTGTTTTTTTTTTTTTAAAGATTTATTTTATGCATTTGATAGACAGAGATCACAATTAGGCAGAGAGGCAGGCAGAGAGAGAGGGAGAAGCAGGCTCCCTACTGAGCAGAGAGCCCCATTTGGGGCTCGATCCCAAGACCCTGAGATCATGACCTGAGCCGAAGGCAGAGGCTTAACCCACTGAGCCACTCAGGCACCCTGTGATTTGTTTATGAGAAGTCTGTGCTGCAAATAAGAGTAGTGACTGACATTAGTAGAATAAATAATATATTAATATGTAAGATTAGAACCCAGGCCTTTATCATCTTCCTTATTAAAGTGTTCTAATGGAAAATTTCCCCCAAATTTAAATAGTTTTAATAATTTTTAAAATTTGTTTCTTTGGGGCAACTGGGTGGCTCAGTTAGTTGGGCATCTACCTTCAGCTCAGGTCATGATCCCAGGGTCTTGGGATCGAGCCCTGTGTCATGCTCCTGCTCAGTGGGGAGACTGCTTCTGCCACTCTCTCTGACCCCCACTCATGCCTACTCTGTCTCTAGTGTGTTTTCTCTCTCAAATAAATAAATACAATCTTTTTAAAAAATAAAAATTGTTTCTTTTATTTAGCAATTCCCTTATGTAAACAAACCACACATGTATCTAGGTCAGTCTGGGAAATCTTCCTTTATCCTTTCAGAGTTAATCACCTACAATGCAGTGTCTGGTCCTTGAATATATTTCTGTTAGTATTTTTTAGATTGCTGTAATTTGTGATAATTGTAATATAATTTACTATAATGTATGGCTGGGGGGTTTTATGTTTTTGCTAAAATATGTTTTATATTTTTACTTGAGATTTTTTTTTATAATTTGGACTTATGTATTTTAAGTAGGTTTAACTGCTAAACATATATTACTGTTCATGTAATTCCTCACACAAAATTATATCATGAATGATGGCATAGTAATCTTTTCTATGATTGTCATGAAAATTTGAATTTAGTTTTCTCTGTTTTAATAGTATTTTTCTTCTAAATGTTTTTCTAAAAATAGGAGTATTTTCTGCATTGCGTGCTGTTCCCCAGAAGGAGGGATACCTTGGATTATATAAAGGGAATGGTGCAATGATGATTCGAATATTTCCCTATGGTGCAATCCAGTTTATGGCATTTGAGCATTATAAAACGGTACTTGAACTTTTATCTTGTTTTCTTTTTGTGTCCTTGAATATCATACTTAGTTGACAAGGCATTTACTTTGGCCTTTAATGTTACTTTGAGTGAATGGGTAAAGTAATGCCTTTTTGAAGGATAAAGACTTATGGTAGTTTAAATTTTTAAATATAACTTGGTTTTGGAGTTATCTATTCTGGAATTGTTAGTCTTTTTTTTTTTTTTTTTTAAGATTTTACTTATTTATTTCTCAGAGTGAGCACAGGCAGACAGAGTGGCAGGCAGAGGCAGAGGGAGAAGCAGGCTCCCCGCTGAGCAAGGAGCCCAATGCGGGACTCGATCCTAGGATGCTGGGATCATGACCTGAGCCGAAGGCAGCCACTTAACCTGAGCCACTCAGGTGTCCCATTTTTGAGCAAATTGTTTATGTACACACTTATGAAGAAGAGCCAGAATATACCCTAAGTTATTAATAAATCCATTAAATATTAATAGCTTTCTAATGTGCCTTTTGTTTCTCGATTGTGGGAAAGGAACATTGTGGCTTTGGATTTTCTTACTAAATAAAATAGTGAAATCCTATGGTGAAAGTCTGTTTTTGAGTAATGCTTATCAGTTAGCATTTCCCATCCTACTCATTGACTTTCACTTCTCTGTTGGACTGAAAGTTTATCTTTTCAAACATCTTAACACAGAAAATGGTGGAGTATGTGAAATTTCATAGAGTATCTTCAAAAGAAATGTAAGCAATAGAATGGGAACAACATTCTAAAGCTCATCAGTCAGAACTGATGTCATCAGTATATCAAGACTTCATTGCCTGTAGTAGCATTTTATTTGTACTACTGCCACTCACTCTTTAAGTATATGTGGTCATCAATGTGCAACATAGTGTATTTGGCAATTGTAAGTTAGGATTTTAAATGTGCAGAACTAGAAGGAGGAAGGCTACGGAGGAAATATCTGACCTGCTCACCAGGTGCTGTAATTCTGCTCACCTTTATACACTTGCACTTGTTTCACTTATGTTTAAGACTAATTTTCTTCTTAGTGGATTTCATAATGGATTTCATTATGAAACAGCAAAATGAGAAGTACTTAAAAATATTCCATTTAATTTGATGTTTTTGATTTCTAGTTAATTACTACAAAGCTGGGAGTTTCCGGTCATGTGCACAGATTAATGGCTGGATCCATGGCAGGTAAGAGGAGGGATGTATTTTCTTTCTTTCTTCTTTTCTCTCTTTCTTTTTATTATTTTTTTAAATAGTTTTTTTATTTGAGAGAGAGAGAGCACAGCAGGGGTTGGGGAGAGTGAGAGGGAGAAGCAGAAGCAGACTTCCCGCTGAGCAGGGAGCCCATGCAGAACTTGATCCCAGGCCTCTGGGATCATGATCTGAGTTGAAGGCAGTTGCTTAACCAACTGAGCCACCCAAATGCCTGGGTGTATTTTATTTCTGACAAATTAATTTTCTACTAAAACGCTTAATTTGGTTTAGGTAATATTTGTGACATTGATTAAGTAGCACACATTTGTCATCTTCCTACACTCAATTATAAAAGAAAGAATTAATATCCAAACTAATAAAAAATTTTTTTACAGGACAAAAAGGAAAGGAGGGGCTGCTAGGTGGCTTGCTCAGTCATTGAGCGTCTGCCTTCAGCTGTAGTCATGATCCCGGGGTCATGGGATTGAGCTCCACATTGGGCTCCCTGCTCTGCGGGAAGGTTGCTTCCAACCCCCAACCCCCACTCCACCTGCTTGTGTTCTCGCTGTCTGTCAAATGAATAAAATTAAAAAAAATAGATAAAGGAAAAGGTAAGGAAATTTAAATGTACAACCACGTGAACAATGTACATTCCCTTTGAGAATTCTACTTCTGGAAATGTTTATTTTTTTTTTTTTCAAACATTGAAAAAAATAATGACTATAATAATAATAATAATAATAATACATGCTCCTATACAAAGAAAATAGTTCCACTTCCTAGAAGCAATCACTATTAGCAGTTTCTTATATATGCTTTTAAAAAAAATTATTTATTTATTTGAGAGAGAGAGAGACAGTGAGAGAGGGAATACATGCTGGGGAAGTGGGAGAAGGAGAAGCAGGCTTCTCACTGAGCAGGGAGCCAAATGTGGGCTTGATTCTAGGACCCTGGGATCATGACCTGAGCCAAAGGTAGATGCTTAATCAACTGAGCAACCCAGGTGTCCCGAACCTTTTTTTTAATAGTAATCTCAAGACTTTTCTATATCAATACGTAGATCTTATTTTTTTTTAAAGACCTGATGATATATTCTAATCTATGAATGTATCTTGATTTATTTAATCCAATCTCCTATTGACTGGCATTTGGAATATTTTCAGTTTTTTCTCACAAGTAATACTTGTGTTATTATTTTTATTAAAAGATTTTATTTATTTGTTTGACAGACAAGAGATCACAAGTAGTCAGAGAAGCAGGCAGAGAGAGAGGAGGAAGCAGGCTCCCTGCAGAGCAGAGAGCTCCATTTGGGGCTCGATCCCAGGACCCCAGGATCACGACCTGAGCCGAAGGCAGAGGCTTAACTCACTGAACCACCCAGGCGCCCCTACTTGTGTTATTTTATTTGTAGAATGTATTTTGGCAAGGGAAATTACTTTATCAAGGAATATGTGCATTTAAAATTTGATAGGCATTGTCAAGCTGATCTTCATAATGCTTTTAATGAAATTTTCCCTTACATACCATACCTATACTGGTCTTACCAAATTTTTAATATTTAGCAACTAATTATGAGTAAGGCTGATCAGCTTTCCAATGTGTATTGACCATATGTGTTTCTTTCATTTTCTGCCTGAGTTGTTTCTATTTTTAAATACTCATTTTTGCTTAAAAATATAAAAAATTATTTTTATGAATTTGGGAATTAGGACATTGCTTTTTTCCTGTCAAATATTACTAATAATTTATATATCAGTTTTAGATTTGTCTTTTAACCTTGTTATTTTTTTTTAGGGAACGTCATCCAAAATTCTCACACACATCCACACACCTGCATCCCTACACCAGTAGAAGTGGGTTATGCTGTGGCCTCAATATTTTGTATTATTATTATTTTTTAAAGATTTTTTAAAAATTTATTTATTTGACAGGCAGAGATCTCACGTAGGCAGAGAGGCAGGCAGAGAGAGAGAGGAGGAGGAGTGGAGAGCAGGATATAGGGCTTGATCCCAGGACCCTGGGACCATGACCTGAGCGGAAGGCAGAGGCTTTAACCCACTAAGCCACCCTGGCACCCCAGAATTTTGTATTATTATTTCTCTCTCTCTCTTTTTAAAGATTTTATTTATTTATTTGATAGAGAGAGATCACAAGTAGGCAGAGAGACAGGTGGCAAGGGGCGGGGGATGGTGGGAAGCAGGCTATCCGCCACACCGAGAGCCCGATGCAGGGCTTGATCCAAGGACCCTGCGATCATGACCCAAGCTGAAGGCAGAGGCTTAACCCACTGAGCCATCCAGGTGCCCTTTTGTATTATTTTTAGAAATGCCTTCTTCATTCTAAGATAAAAACATTTTACGTTTTCTTTCTTATTTTTTTTAAGATTTTATTTATTTATTTGACAGACAGAGATCACAAGTAGGCCGAGAGGCAGGCAGAGAGAGTAAGAGGGGGAAGCAGGCTCCCTGCTGAGCAGGGAGCCCGATGTGGGACTCGGTCCCAGGACCCTGGGGTCATGACCTGAGCCGAAGGCAGAGGCTTTAACCCACTGAGCCACCCAGGTGCCCCAAGTTTATTTATTCTTAGAACTTTTTTTATATTTCTTAGGCCCGATTTAATGTTAAAACCTGTTTAACTATTAGGGCCTGCTTAGCCAGAGCAACTCCATATTGCCTAGGTAGCCATATTGTTGTTTATATCCACGGACTTCATTCCAGGAATAAACGCCCCCGTTGTTCCTGGTATGGTTCCGGGTATGGATTCTGGGAGTAAACGCCTTAACAATAGAAGACATGTACCTTGGGTCTGCGGTTATGCCCTATAAAGCCAGCCTGTGAGATTGGGAGGGGGTCGCTCTCTTCAGAGGCGGCCCTGGCCAGTCAGTCTGACTTCTAATGCTTGGCATAGAATAAGGCTTTGCATAACTTTTACTTTGTCTCAGTTTCACTCCTTTGATAACAGACCCCAACAATATTGATGATTTTTTTTTTAAAGATTTTATTTATTTATTTGAGAGAGAGCATGAGCGAGGAGAAAGTCAGAGGAAGAAGCAGACTCCCCGTGGAGCTGGGAGCCCGATGTGGGACTCGATCCCAGGACTCCGGGATCATGACCTGAGCCGAAGGCAGTTGTCCAACCAACTGAGCCACCCAGGCGTCCCTACTGATGATTTTTTTTATGTTGATCTTTTTAATATTTATTTTTATATAAAGAATGAAGTAGGGATTGAATAAAATTTTTCTCCAAATGACTAGTCACTGATGCCAACAATACTTACTCAATAACTTACCTTTTTTTCTGACTTTAAGTACCACCTCTATCATATACTAAGTTCAGTAATTTTATTTTTATTTACTCTTAAATTTAATTTTAATTTATTTAAATTTAATTAGCATATAGTGAATTATTAGTTTCAGAGGTAGACTTCAGTCATTTACCAGTCATTACATACCCAGTGCTCATTACATCATGTGCCCTCCATAATGCCTATCACCCAGTTACCCCATATCCCCCCTCAGCAATTTTATTTAAGAGAGAAAGTGAAGATGTATACAATGATATTTAGCAACAAAGTTTTTAATTTCAGTTTTGTTTATTATACCAGAAGGTCATTTAAATATGTAGCTATAAAGGACTGGTAAAAAAATTCCATATATCAGAATATCTAAAACCCTTGAGATATGCATGTATGGTGTGGTTAGGGAGAGTAGTAGAGACAGATGTTTTGAGCATGTAGGCCCCAAAAGGAATAGATATTGGACACTGTGGCTATAGATAATCATCTACCTTCCTGGTTATTGGGATGACATTCTTGTTCTTGGATGACAGGTCTTAGAGACTTTCCAGATACAACTTCTGACTCTGAAACCAGTGACTCTTCAGCCTTATCTTTCTACCTATATAGTCCTCATTTATGGTTTTGCCTTATCCAGTGTTTATTTAGCTTTTATTTTTTTTTAAGATTTTATTTATTTATTTGACAGAGATCACAAGTAGGCAGAGAGGCAGGCAGAGAGAGAGAGAGAGGGAAGCAGGCTCCCTGCTGAGCCGAGAGCCCAGGACCTGGGATCATGATCTGAGCTGAAGGCAGAGGCTTAACCGACTGAGCCACCCAGGTGCCCCTTATTTAGCTTTTCTTGACTCCTTGATGGCTGATCCAAGTACAGTAAGTAGTAAAAATAACCAGGAATAATATTCAAAATATTTAGCAATACAACTATAGAGGTCCTAATAATTAGGACTGGTTCTGAAAGCCTACAATTAACTTGCTAGTGATTGATGCATGAGTAGTATGTGGTGGTAGTGGTGGTGGGAGTTTTGGTAGGCCTAGAGGGCTACCAGAGCCATGGTAGGGATATTAGAGTTGGAACAACAGCTGTTGGCCAACTGGTATAGAAATATTTCAGTATGTTATACTGGCATGATAGTGCTAGTGAGGAACATTAGTAACAAGTATTGATTACTTGCTATGAATCATATATAGACCTGAGCACTTGACATGTAATCTTAAGGCACTTGACATGTAGTCCACAGAAAAATACAGTGTGGAAAATGCTATGATTGTCTTCATTTTATGGAAGAGAAATTTTAATAAGATTCTACATTACAAAATTTTTTTAGAGAATTCTATTTAGTCGAGAGGGAGAGAGCACAAGCAAGGAGAGGGGGAAAGGGAGAGGGAGAGAGAGAAGCAGACTTCCCTCTGAACGGGGAGCCCGATGTGGAGCTCTGTACCAGGACCCTGAGATCAAGACCTGAGCTGAAGGCCGACGCTTAACCAACTGAGCCACTCTGGCGTCCCTAAATTACAACATATGATGTATAATATTATACATCACTTTTTAAATTTTCTGTCTTTTAAATTCACCTTTACAAGTGACTGATCAAAAGTTTTTCTTTGAAGCTTGAAAGAAAGATTAAGTTGGATTATGAATATGAGTTAAATCCTGAAGACTTTGTGTTGCTGTCTTTTCATAGCATTTGATTATTGAATA